TGATAAAACCTTGCTTGCTGTTAGTAAAGAGGACTTAAAATACGTAAAGAAAAAAAATCCTCACCACCGGATCAGTGAATAACATCATGGTAAGTAGTGAAAAGACTGAAGTTGTCAAAGACTTCATTTTGCTTGGATCCACTATCAATACTCATGGAAGTAATAGTCAAGTCAAATGATATATTGCATGAGTTAAATCTGCCGCACAAGACCTCTTTAAAGTGTTTAAGAGCAAAGATATCAGTCCAAGGCCTGAAGTGTGCCTAACCTAAGCCATAGTATTTTCAGTAGCCTCGTATGTATGTGAAAACTGGACAACGCATAAGGGAGACCATAAGAGAAACAAGAGAAACTGATGCATTTAGTTACTCTGTTGGAGAAGAATATTAAAAGTACCATGGATTGTCAGAAGAATGAACCAATCTATACTGAACAAAGTACAGCCAAAGTGCTCCTTGGAAGCCAGAGTGGCAAAACTTTGTCTCTCATACTTCAGACATATTATCTAGAGGAACCAGTCACTGGTGAGGGACATCATGCTTGGAAAAGTGGAGGGTCAGAGAAAAAGAGAGAGACCCCCAATGAGATGGATTGGCACAGTGCAGCAGCAATGGACTGAGGCTTAACAAGGATTATGAGGACGGTGTGGGACCGGGCAGTGTTTCCGTCTGTTGTGAGTAGGATTGCTGTAAGGTGGAACCAACTAGATGGCACCTAACAACAACTGGAGCACTGATCTTGTTTTGTAACATTTTAAAGACCTTTTTGTCTCTCCAGGGGAAAGTCACACCTGTCATCTACCCACTTCTGTCGAGTGGATTCTGACTCATAGGGACCCTACTGGACAGAGCAGAACTGCCCCACTGTATTTCCAAGGCTGTAAACCTTTATGGGTTCGGAAGCCTGGTGTGGCACTGCAGGATAAGCACTGGACTGGTACCACAGGGTCAGTGGTTCAAACCCACCAGTCGCTCTTTAGAAACTCTATACAAGGTTGCTATTAGTCGGAAACAACGTATCAACAACAAACTTATGCAGAAGTGGACTGTCACATCTTTCTCCTGAGAAGCTGGTAGGCTCAAACCACTAACTTTCGTTTACCAGCCAGGCTCTTTAACCACTGTGCCACCAGGACTCCCTTAACATCTTGTTAAAACCCACACTAAACCCCAATGCCAATGAGTCAACTGTAACTCACAGCAACAGATAACTACTGTCGAGTGTCCCCAGGCTGTAACTTCATGGAGGTAGACTGCCGCATCTTTCTCCCACAAAGCCACTAGCGGGTTCAAACCACACACCTTTTTGGTTAGTGGCAGTATGCTTTAGCCACTGTATTGTTGTTGTTGAAAATGCTGCTGAATCTGTTCTGACCCACAGCGACCCTGTATAGGGTTTCTGAGGAGTAGTTGGTGAGCTTGTGGTTCAAACCAACTTTCAGTCCAGAGCATTAACTCACAGCGCCACAGCATCCCAACTATTAGCTTACTCCAGATTCCAACAGTATGGGACGAAGTAGTTTAAGAAGGCAGTAAAAAGGGGAGTTTTGTGGGCCAACTGCGGGTCTCTTGCTTATCTCTGCAAAGGTAAGGTTCACAATGTCCTAGTAGTTTACCTATCCCTCGAAGATTGTACAATCACTTGGGTACTTCTGGAAATGCCCAGAGGGTCTTCACAGAGACATTTATATTCAGCATTTAGTGTAAAAACATCCTTTCCCAAACCTGCCAACAACTCCTAGTATATAACCACTTGCTACCTGTTCTTTGGAGATTGCTTTCGCATCATTATAAGCAAAGAAATCAATACTAGGCCATTGATTTGGGAGAGAGACAAGATTGCAAGGCAATAATACATAAAGTTAGTCAAGCCTTACTTCTCAATTGTTTTGAAAGAACAGATAGTTCAATGCCCCTTTCTGAAATAGGTACTCATCCTGCACTGGTGATCTTGTAGCAATAAAGATTCAAGATAGATGAGGCATCATAACCCCAATTGACAGAACAGCTCTTGAGTGCTACACACAATCTCACAATATTGTTTCAGAGTCGATAGTTATGTATTAACTCCGAATCGGGATCCCCTCTCTGCAGTTTACTCCTCAGTTTAATTTAAAAAGTACAGGCTAGAGCATGAGGTCACTTTGCTGGTGCCACCATATAGTCATGTGGCAGAGGTACTACAACTGCAGAGAGCAGCTGAAGGTCTGGCCCAAACATATATTCTGTCTTGACAAACAGGTACAGGCCAATCTTTTACCTTATCCATTAATTTACTAAAACACCATCTGGTCTTTCCAAGCCAAATTAACACGGAAAGTCATTTAGATATGTTAATTGGCTTTAAACCAGTGAATAGAATCAGTAAAAAGACACTATGGGAATGGAGAACATTCGCTTACACAGAGCTTTTTTTGTTTTCCAAAACCCTTTCCCATGTAGTAGCTCAGCAGAGCCTCAGCTCACTCCTATAAAGTTGATGGATTATCATCATAACCATCTGAAAGAAGAGGAAATTGAGGCTCAAGGGTTGTTACTCGCCTAAAGTGACCCAGGGTAGTGAAAAAAAATGAGCATTTACCAGGGCACAGTGCTGGGAACATTTACGCTTTGTTATCCTTTAGCCAGCCAACAGCCCCGTGGGAATGGTACCATTATTATCCCTTCTTATGACTGAGGACATTGAAGAGAAGCAACTTATGGCAGGACTCCTGGTATGGTGCTGGGGGATCAGCACTGGACTGCAAATCACCAGGTGGACAGTGTAAACTCACCAGCCTCCTTGGAAACCCTATACAGGGTTGCTCTGAATCAGAACCAACTTGACAGCACTTAACAACAACAACAATGAGGGTTAGAATTTGAACCCAGCTCTTTCTTTGTTGTTTGCTGTTATAGTGAGCATAATTGTTACTCTTGAAGCAGTGGATTGCCTGGTATCTCCCGATTCTCAAGTACTCAATGAAGTGCTGTCCCTGTGGCAATGCACAGGAAATACTAAGTGGAATGATGGACAAAGTGTTGCCGGCAGAGCCTGAGAGAACTGGGTTTAAATCCAGTTCTACTACTTGGTAGCTGTGCAATCTTACGGAAATTACTTCTCCACCCTGAGCTTCATTTTCCTTATCTGTTATATGGACAAAAAGATTTTAATCACATAAAGTTGGTGTGATATTTATATAATGTATTAAAGGTCTAAGGAGCTCTGGTAACATAGTGGTTACAAGTTGGGCTGCTAACCTCATAGTCAGCAGTTCGAAACTATCAGGAGTTTCCTGAGGAAAAGATGAGGCTTTCTGCTTCCGTAAAGATTTACAGCCTTGGAAACCCTATGCAGGGTCGCTATGAGATGGAACTGACTCCACAGCACATGACCACCACCACCACCATGTAAAGGTCTGCGTACGTCGACAAATACTAGTTATCTTTATAAAAATGTTTCTCCAGGAAGCAGAGTAAGTTAGCAGGAGTAGACAAGGGTCTTTACTTGGTAGAGAATAAAGACAGAAACACAGAGTGGAATGTACATTTTTATTTTTAAGGGCTGTTGAGTCAATTCCTACTTATAACGAACCTGTGTAGGGATTCCAAGGAGCAGCTGGGAGGTTTGAGCTGCCGTCCTTGTGGTTTACAGTCTAGTGCTGATCCTAAAGCATCATACCAGGAGTCCAAGAAGGCACAGTGTTGATAAGTGCCGTCAAGTCAACTGGTAGTTTTGAACTGCTAACCTTCTCATTTTGTTTTGTTTTTTCCTCTTCTGCTAATAGCATAGTGGTTACGAATCGGGCTACGAACTGTAAGGTCAGCAGTTCGAAATTACCAGCTGTTCCACGGGAGAAAGATGAGGCTTTCTGCTCCCATAAAGATTTATAGCCTCGGAAACCCTGTGCAGGGTCGCTGTGAGTTGGAACCAACTCCACAGCACATAACCAATAACACAACTTCTGCTAATGCTTTTTTGTTGTTGTTAAGTTTTTATTGTGAACTGAGTGACAGTTTACGTGGGAGAACATCGGCTTTACACCATTGTTCATTGCAATGATTACAATCTCGTCTGTGCATCATCACTCAACAGTATTTGCTTCCATTCCCTGTTTTTTTGGGGGGTGGGGGGGGATGGTGTAGTATACAGAAACACTAAGGAATACATAATACTTTAAACAACCAAAGGGTTTCTTCTGCAAGCCTGCCTCCTGGCCTCCAGGACCCAGTCCCTCTCTGTCCATGAGTCCAGAGTTCTCATCTCTGCCTCTGTCTCTGGTGTCACTGCTTCTCTGGATCGGGTCCCGCATTCCACTTGTGCTCTTTTCCCTTGATGGTCCTTCTCATTTTTATAGCTAGCCTTTGAAAAGACTTGCAGCTCAAGAATGACCTATTTTTAGACTTATCTGATTCCTAGGAGAGTCCTGGTGTGGGGCTGTGGGTTAAAGCGCCAGACTGCAAAGTCATCTGAACATCAAGGTTGGTGGTTCAAGTTCACCACTGCTCCTTGGAAACCCAATACAGGGTCGCTATGGGTCAGAACTGACTTGACGGCACTTACCAACAACAACATCAACAACCAGAGTATAGGTTAAGGTCCTTCCAAGCTCCCACAGAATTCTGTTTATCTCTAACTTAATATTCAGTATAAGGAGCTCTGGTAGTGTAGTGGTTATGAATTGGGCTGCTAACCACAAGGTCAGCAGTTGGAAACTACCAGCTGTTTTGTGGGAGAAAGATGAGGTTTTCTGCTCCCGTAAAGATGTACATACAGCCTCAGAACCCCTATGCAGGGTTGTTATGTGTCAAAACTGACCCTACAGCACATAACCACCACCACCACGTATATGTTTTCTCTTCCAGATAATAAGGCCCTTGATTATTACAGTATCTGGTGTAAGGTAGACGCTCAAAACCTTTTTGCTGAATAGAGGAGAGAAAGGAGGAAAGAAAAACAGACCCAGCCCAATGACCAGTGTGCTGATTAAGATTAAAATCAGATGTGTAACATTTTCTTACCTTGACGGCATAGTTGTTAAGTGGATCTTTTGCATATGAAGCTGTGTAGTAAACGGCGTCACCTGCCTCACAACATGGCTTGTCGCTCGTTAGCCTGAAGTCTGACCAGCTGTCAACCCCAAAACGGAGTTGGTCTTTCTGTCCAGCCATGAAGAGGTCTTCACATTTAATAGTCAGTTTCTTCAAGGCGTCGGTATAGAGACTCCGGATTTTACCCACTGCTTCCTCCCGATTTTCAAGTCCTCGATAAAGTGCTTGTCTCTGTGACTTCTGGATGCTTCGGCCCTGTCTGCAAGGGGTACGCCGGCTAGACAGGGACTCCATGCTGTTGGAAAATCTGTCTTTAACACTGAGAGTGGTTAAGCTGGAGATGCTGTTGGCTGCTGAGGGGACAGGTCTGTCCTTGTGCGAAGGTCTTTCTAAGGAGTCACAAGACTCAATGTCCAGTCCCTTGAGTTCATAGCTGACAGAAGAGCCAGCACTGCTGGCATCCCAGTTGGGGTCGATATCATAGGTGGGATTAGCCATGACACAAAGACTATTTTCTAGGGATTTTTGGAGGTCTTTGGAGATTGGCTCTGTGTTGGCTCTTATGATTGTTTTCTTTGGCAGTGGAGGTGGTGTGGGTTGGGAAGCAACAGGTATTTCTTGGTCTGCTTTACCCCCAAAGGTAATGGCATCGTCCAAAGCTCCCTTTGCTTGCCGCGGATGCTTGGGAGGTATCATGGTTGCTCGAGATCGCCCTGTATTGTTAAAAAAAAAAAAAAAAAGGTGGTGGGGGGGAGAAAGGAAAAATAATTTAGTTTTCTTTCTTGTTACATAATTGAAACCCGAGCAGAAAAAAGTGATGTGGTCATGGAAATATAAGAAGTTAACTCAAAATGGGAAAAGAACAAATACTTAAACACTGAACGTCGGAGCCCAACACTTGGTGGAGCAGCAGATGTAAGTACTGACTCAGCAACTGAATCACAGAGCAGGCGGCTTGTTTGGGTGATAAGCTTTGGTTTTAAAAAGGGATCCAGATTCCCCGGGCTAGCCCCACAGAGGTCTGTGTTTATCACACTGATATATTCGGAATGGCACTCACATAGTTACATAGATCACAGAGTAGAATTAAGAGTATCTGTGGAATAAGAAAATACCTGGGGGTATTAACATAGACAGAATTGAAACGAGCAATGGGACTCTAGACTGGTGCTCAGCAGACACTGTTCTGTTCTTTTCACTTTGTCCAAAATTACACTGTATTGTATATAGTACTTGTCACTTTTGAGCCAGTGCATTTAAATACAAGTTTGTATGCCATGCTTTTTCCTTTCAAATTGTACCACAGAGATGGATTCTAGCACTGCTTAAACTGGTCTGTGTATAAGGTTCCTATGATTGTGGTAAGAAAAACAGTGTATGTATGTGAACAGTAACAACTGCTGTTCCAAATGGTCATTCACAAACTCTTCCGTAACTCTATTTTATTTGTTTTTGTTGTTGTTGTTAAGTGCCGTCAAGTCGGTTATGACTCATAGCCACCACGTATAGGGTTTCCAAGGAACGACTGGTGAAGTTTGAAGCACTGACCTTGTGATTCAAACCAACTTATGGCCTACTGCTTATCCCATAGCACCGCACCAGGACGCTTTGATAGATGCTACTTTTGAAATCTGAAACAGCCTTTTAACTAATCATCTGTGCTTACTTTCTAGATTTATGCTTAGAAGAATATAAAACACAATTGTGTGTGTTCAATGACACCTTTAGGCTTACTGTACAATGGGGAGGGGACGTTATTTTTTTAAAGATATAGAAATAGACCATGAAACTTTTATAACAGCTTTAAAAATTATTCATGCTGTTACAATGAGGTCACCACTCAATATCACAGCATTAAGAGCATAATGTTCCTGCAGATGATCAGATAGACTGGCTGATCCCAAGTAGGGTGATGAACGGAGGCAGTGGTTTGTTTGTTAATGTCAAGTCCTTGTACTCATTCCAAGGGTAAGTACTCATAAAGGCTGTGATTGTAATGATAATAATATGTTGTTTCCAATGCACACAACTATCCTCAAGAATACCTAAGAGCTCTTTCAAACTGTGACATTATATACAGCAAACTGAAGGGCTTCCTTTCTCCACCAAACACACGTAGCAATATTTTACAAGGCATAGGGCTGTATTAAATAGAAACAAAAATATATAGGGAGAGCGTGAGAGAGAAAAAATGAGAATGCTGAGCTCCACGAGGGCTAGGACTTTTATTCAATGTTCTATCCTCTGTGCCGAGAACAGGGCCTGGATATAACTGATGCTCAGTAAATATTTCTTGAAAGACAAAGGAAAGACATTTAGGACTGAAAGAGAAAAAGTGTGAAAACTGTATATTTTTCACAATAGTTATAACAGGGAAAGATTGAATGAATAATTTAAAAACTTCCTACAAAGACAAAGCTAGCGCCAGATGGGTTTACAGGTGAATTCTATCATATTTCATGCTTAACGTGGTGGTGGTGGTGGTGGTGGTGGTGTGTGCCGTGGAGTTGGTTCCAACTCATAGCGACCCTACATAGGGTTTCTGAGGTTGTAAATCTTTACGGGAGCAGAAAGCCTTATCTTTCTCCCTTGTAACCGCTGATAGTTTTGAACTGCTGACCCTGACATTAGCAGCCCGATTCATAACCACTACACCACCAGAGTTCCTTATACTTAATGGTAAGACTGGCTATTTCACCTTAAGACAGACACAAGACAAGTTTCTGCTCTTGACGCTTCTACTCTACATTGTATAAGAGGCTCTAGCTAGGGTAATTAGGGAAAAAAGGTAGCTTTATTTCTGTGAACAGTGACCATTTTATTTTTTCCTTTCCAGTCTACCAGTATTCATAGATGTATAAAGGAGTTCCTCGTGATATACCCAGTTAAGCACTTGACTACTAGCTGAGAAGTTGACATTGTGAGCCCTCTCAGAGGCAGCTTGGAAGATGAGCCTGGTGATCTACTTCTGCAAACCCTGTGGATCAGTTCTGTTCTGCACACAGGGGGATACCATCAATTGTCATCAACTTCACAGCACTTCACAGATGACATAATCTTGTACCTAGAAAATCCTAAGGAATCAACAAAATCTATTCAACTAATATCCAGTTTGACAAGGTCACTGGCTAGAAGACAATATACAAAAGTCTATTTTATTTCTCTACATTAGCGCTGAACAATGCATAATTATAATTAAGAAAAGAATTGCACTTATAATACCATCAGAAAAAATAAGGTAGCAACAAAAATAAAAACAACTCAATTTAAAAATGGGCAAAGGACTTGGAATAGGCATTTCTCCAAAGTACATGAAAGGACACTCAATGGCATCAGGGAAATGCAAATCGAAACTACAATTAGATACCATTTCCCACACATTATTAGGAAAATTACTACTACCAGACAAACTGAAAATAACAAGTTTTGGAGAAGATGGAAAGAAATAGGAACCCTCACGTATTGCTGATTATTGGTGTTACAGTGCCATTGAGTTGGTTCTGACGCAGCAACCCTGTATAAGGTTTTCTTAGGACCGGATGGTGAATTTGACACGCCAACCTTGCGGTTGAGTGCTTATCCTACAGTGCGACACCAGGACTGACTCCCCTTTAAAGATGACAGCCTAGAAAATCCTATGGGGCAGTTCTACTCTATCACTATGAGTAGAAATTGACTCGACAGAACCTAACAACAGGATGACTAAAATGAAAAAAGACAGTAACAAGTGTGTAAGGCCGTGTAGTCATTCACACTTCTCTCACTGTTAGTGTGACTGTAAAAGTGTGTAGCGACTTTGAAAAACAGTTGGGGAGTTTCTCAAAAATTTAAGCACAGGGATAGCATGTGTGTGTGTGTTAAATGCCATCTAGTCAGCTCTGACTCATAACAATGCTGTGTAGGATTTCCACCAAGGAGCAGCTGGTGGGCTTGAACTGCCGACCGTGTGATTAGCAGTCCAGTGCTTATCCCACAGTGCCACACCAGGACTACAGAGTTATGACCTAGTAACTTAACTCTTAGGTAATAAATACAGGTATATACTTAAGAGAACATGCATGTGTGTCAGTGTGGCACTTGGAAACCTTATATACAGGGTGGCTAGGAGTCAGAATCGACTCGACAACACACAGCTACAACAATGTTTTCATGGAAACTTGTCCCTGAATGTTGTTCACAGAATAATTCATAATAGCTGAAACATGGAAACAAATGTCCATCAACCAATAAATGGATAAATAAAATAGTATAGCCATACAATGGAGTATTATTTAGTCATAAAAAGGTATGAAGTACCGATACATCTATGACTTGGATGAACTCTGAAAACATGATTTTTTGGAAAAAAAGCAGACACAAAAGGCCACATGTTATATAAATACATTTACGTGAAAAGTCCAGACTAGATCATTCTATGAAGACCGAATGTAGAGGGAAGCCATAAAACAGTGGTCTGGGCAGTAAGGCTAGAGACAGACCCTGTACAACACAGATACGAAAAACCAATTGAAACCGATGCAGATGATAGTCCCGGATCCCTGAGCTTCAGATGAAGGGACAGAGCTAATGTTTACTAGCTGAGCAGATGTCCCCAAAATGTAGACAGACTACACCTGTGTGCCAGCCTACCATACATAGTACGACCATCTTAAGCTTTGTGAGTGGCTTCAGAGACTAGCATATTGGCATTGCAGAAACATTCCAGTGGCTTGTGGAGATAAAGGTGTGAGTTTTTTTTCTTGTTCCCCATACTCCCCTGCTGTCCAAAGGCATGGCCAGCCGCCCCCTGACTGTGTATACCACCCAGTGACGCTCTTGCTCTCTGGGTGGTCAGAACTGCCCAGAAGTGAGCACCACAGGTGTGAGCCACATCAAAGTGAGTGGGGAGCTATGGGTACCAGCCCTGGCACCTGGAGTTAGATGAGCCCTGCTCCAAACCTGCACAACTGATTCTGCCCAGTCCTGGACTAGCTACACCTCTTGCCCTCTGCTGACCTCTGGGATAGAAATACTCTGATCCCCCAGAAGCTTTGGAGCCTGTACCAACTACTTCTGGATTGGGTGCTCAGAATAGATAACACCTAGTCCTGGTGTGGTGCTGTAGGATAAGCACTTGATCACAAAGTCAGTTCGATCCATAAGGTCGGTGGTTCAAGCTCACTAGCTGCTCCTTGGAAATACTAAACAGGGTTGCTGTGAGTTGGAACCAACTCTCTGGCACTTAACAACAACAAGCCGTACAGGAACTTGGTCTAGCGTCTAGAATGTTACCATCTCATCCTTTGCCCACGCATGACGTAAGGTCCTTGGCTGACAGAAGACACCAGAATGTACCTGTCTCTGGGTCTGGCACCTGCCCTGGCTTTCTCCTTTGTTTTTATTTGTTTACTCTTCTTCTCCTTACTTGATTGCCCTTGATTACCTATCCTTTTTACCTTTACTTTCACTTCTGTTTTCCAATTGCTGTATCTGCGTCCTTTTCTAGTTCTCTTTTCTGTTACTACTCTCTGGTCTCTTTCCTTTTACTTATTCCTCTCTATAATTGTGTTCTTTAATTTTCTCTTCTGCTGTTAAATAAATTATTTTTCCTTCTCTTTTTCTCTTTTGCATTCTTTTTCTAGCTGTTGCTTGCTTTTATTTTTTTCCTTACACTTTTCTGCTTTTGCTTGTTTGTTTTCCTTCTCTCTTGTGTGTGCATTTTCTCTCCTTGCCT